TTTTTTTTTTTGGAAAAATCCACAATTGAAAAAGCTGACAAAATTTAACAAATGCAATAACCATATCAATAATGTTAGCAACAGCAAAAAAAAGAAAACAATTGACCTAAATAATAGAATTACAATTGTAATTGGTAATTGATATTCTGTTAAAATCATAAAAGAAGGGAAAAAAAAACTCATTGATTTATTTGTATTATTCAAAAAGAAGTTGTTCGTTTATCCATTTATTTCTTTTGAAAACCGCACAACTGTACCGTAATAACAAATAAAAATGCTTGTTGCAATTTAAAAACCCATAAATTTTCAATTTTTTTTTGTTTCCGTTTGCAAGCGTTTTAATTTTATCCTTACTGAATTACAGACATTCATATTAGTTAATTAATCAACTACAATATCTTAGATAGCTAAAAAAAAAAAAAAGAAAAACAAAATTGAAAAAAGTTCAAATTAGAAAAAATTGAAAAAATACGATTAAAAAAAAAAAGTTGAATATTGAGCTGCAAAAAGAATTGTTGTTTAGAATAAATCCAAAACCCTGAAATCAGTATCGGAGATCAGTGTAACATACGAACACAGACAACGACCCACAAACAGACACAGACACAGACTTACTTAGAACAACAAACACATCAAAAAAAAAAGAAAAGGAACGTATACAGTTCAACTAAATAATTACTGCTCAATTCTGTTGTTCAAAAATGACTAGTTTAAAATTACTGCTAACAACTACTAATACTACTGTAAAATATAAAGAAAGAAAGAAACAAATAAATGAATGAATGAATGAATGAGCGAATGAATAAATAAATGAATAAATAGATAAATGAATGAGTGAACAAATGAATCAAATGAAGGAATAAACAAAACAGAGAAACAATCAACGAAACAAACTAACAAGTGAATAAATAAACAAATAAATTAAGAAATAAATAAAAAAAAAAGACATAAATTAACTAAAAAAAAATTTTTAACAAACTGTTTGTGGCATTATTTCAAATAAGAAATTATCGCAATTAAAAATGTCAAAAATTTTTGCTATTGAAAAATTCTCCGTAAATCGTGCCGAGAGCCTCTGAAAAAAAAAGAAAAAAGAAAAAGATAATAAAGTGTTATACAAATATTAAAAAAGTGTAAAAAAAGTTGTAAAATACAAAAGTTTAACCTTTTACTATGCATAAATAATTTTTTCAACCAATATTTACAGATTACTTTAAAAATTAATA